GATAGGCATCCATAAGAACATAACAGAAGAACACAACTGGATCAAGCCAAAGGCCCACATAATCCAGGATCCTGTTCTCACAGTGGAGAATCAGATGTCCATGGAAAGCTCACAAACAGGACAGAAGCTCCGCAGCCCTTCTGGTGTTCAGAGGCATGAAATGAACCAGCCTGAAACACTGTGCAGGAATAGCAGGATTAGAACAATGTCATAATCTCCAACATTTCTCCCATGAAATTAGGGATATCCTATTACACCACCACCACAACAACTCTGGATGGCTTCCAACATATATAAAATTGGTTTAATTTTTTACTTGCACTTTGTAACTTCTGAAGTCCTCAGATCTTTTGATGAAGGGTGGTATATAAATTTAATAAATAAACAAATAAAACTTCCCCAGACAGAGCTACCTTCAGATGGCTCAGGGGTCAGATAACTCCACACCCTCCAACATTTCTCCCATGAAAATGGGGGTGTCCTAAGGAAAAGCAGGGCATTCCAGGATCAAATCAGAAACTGGGACGGTGTCTGTAAATCTGGGACTGGAAATCCCTGGAAAATAGGGACACTTGAAGGGTCTGCAAAAACCTAGGATGAATCCTGACCAAGGCAGCAACACAGATCGTGCCTGCACTCCCACCTGCCTCCAGGGCAGCGGTTTGATTGCCTGACTCATGAAAAGCCAGCTCATGCTGTAATGCAGGAATGGGGATCCTGGCATCCAAAGTCTGGAGGGCTGCAGATTTCCCCGCAATTCGTTTTGTGCAGGTGAGTTGCCAATTGAAAACTGTAATCCTCAGGGGCTTATGCTACTGCTGGTCAGCCTTTAAGGTAAGCCACATGACTTAGCTGGAAATAAGTACTCTAGATAAAGGAGGAGGGATATAAACCCACAACAGGATTGTAGGTACCTTCAACATCAAGGCTCCCACCAAGGCCATCAAATTAGGTTTCAGTTCTTCAGCTCTAAGCCCAATAAAGCACTGGAAAATATAACCAAGAACACCTTGCTTGGACTCCAGGCTGAGTTCTATAAATCAGAGCCTCTTTCCTATGTGTTACAGAAACTGTAAGGATAAAAGAACCCTAATAGATCACTTACGGTGGGCTTGTACTAAGGCAGACACTTACTGGGCATTCATTTTTACCAGTACTGTATTAGTCAATCGTACAGCAACTTCACTCCTGAACCTCTGCTTGCTCTCCCATCTATCTTGAGAAAAGGGGTTAAGGCAGAGCTTTCCAAACAGTGCGTCGTGACACATTAGTGTATCGTCTGCAGTGTGTAGGTCTGTTGCATGAATGCTCTCTGCACTCCTCCTGTGACTGGAAAGGGATTAGTTTAACCTCCGGTTTGCTAGTAAAACTGAATTACTGTGTCGCGAAATGATGCATGTCTAAAAAGTGTGCCACCAACATGAAAAGTTTGGGAAGCTCTGGGTTAAGGGGTTAATAAGCCTCTGGTCCACAGATATCTGGTACTGAAGCAACTGGCAGCTGCTAGCTTAGAAACTGCATGCCACTGGAGGGAATTTGGAATTTAGAATCACATAATCACAGGACTGTAGAATTGGAAGGGACCCTGTAGGTCATCTAGTCTAACCCCCTTGGCAAGGCAGGAATCTCAACTAAAGCATCCACAACAATGGTCATCCAACCTCTGCTTAAAAATCTCCAAGGAAGGAGAATCCACCACCTTCTGAGGGAGCCTGTTCTATGGTCAAACACCTCTTACCATCAGAAAGTTCTTCCTGATGTTTATTTATAATCTCCTTTCTTGTCACTTGAAGCCATTTGTATTTTTGTTATAAACAAGCGCACCTAGACATTTCGTTGTTGCGCCCATAACCTAGGTTTAAGGTGTCATTTAGCTCCTAGCTTTCATATCTCAGTTTTTAACACTGCTGACCATTGACTCTAAATGAGAAATTAACACAGAGTTGCCAGAAAGCAAGGGGAGGAATAAGCAAAGACAAATTCTCCAAGACATGGCTTCAATTTATAAGGTATTTAATAACAAAGATAAAACATTCTGAATTTCATCATCATATCTTTCACTTCAGCTTCACTCAATAGGCCTAACTAGGCCTGCAATTTTGGAATACAATTTTTCTCACTATGGTGGTTTTGTGAAAAAATTCAATAGCAACTTATTTATTTTTTTAAAAAGAAAGAACACGTTGCTGAAACAGACCAAAGGGCATTCAGCTTGCCATGTCTCCTGTACGCCAGCAAGCAGGAGACAGCCAAACCCCTGCTGGAACAAATGAACCAGGGACAAATGACAAATTCTAAGTTACACAGCCAATTAATTCAGCTATATCAAATACCATAGAAGTCCATTTTTATTTTTCAGACGTCATCTCTCAGCTGCATTCCTGAAATACAAAGTATATCTGTTTCAACCCAAAAATAAATGCAGGCATCTGGGCAACAAACCAATCCATCCTCTTATTTGTATCACGTCCTTCATTGTATTTGTAATCAATTTTGCTCTTTATACTGCCGAGAATTGGCCACCTGATGGGGAGTTATATGTAACTCAACAGCTTCCTTCCATATTCTGGCTATTCCGGAAAACAGAAAGCAAGTCTGAGCAAAAATATACAAAATGCAAAAACAGTTCTACTGGATTTTGACCCAAATCCCCAGCTAGTTTGGTGTTCTGCTCCCAAAAGTGGCCAACCAGATGTTCCTGGAAGTTAACAAGACCACAGCATCTGGACATTCAATGCATACTGTTTTTGTAGATGAGCTTTCAATTCAGCCTTCATGACTAACAGCTGCTGATAAGCCCATCCATCCATAAATATTGTCAATTCAGAGGTGGGAAACCTTTCCACCCAAGAACCACATTCTCTTCTGGGCAAATGTCAGAGGGGGCACATGGTAGTTATGAGTGGGGGCCAGAGGCAGAAGTGGGAGGGGCAATGAATGCAAATTGTTACTGCTGTACTCTTGGCTAATTTTGGCACATACCCTTCTCTAGCAGACATCCAAGAAAGCAACAGGCCCTACTAGACTTCAAGAAAAAACATTTCAGTCAGGGAGGGGCAGGCAGGTACATGCCAAAGGCAGGTCCAGTAGGAGATGTGGCTGGGAGGGGCCCAAGGGCCAGAAGGGAGGCTTGGAGTGCTGGGTTTGGGTCCATCCCATCCATTCTAAATGAGTGGCCCACACATATATTTTTTTAGTATTGAATTTTCTAACTTAACTGCCTACTTGAGTCAGAGATGGCAAGCACGACTTACAACAGGGGTCAGCAACCTTATTCAGCCGTGGGCTGGTCCACTGTCCCTCAGACCTTGTGGGAGGCTGGACTATATTTTGGAATAAAAATGAACGAATTCCTATGCCCCACAAATAACCTAGAGATGCATTTTAAATAAAAGCACACATTCTACTCATGTAAAAACACCAGGCAGGCCCCACAAATAACCCAGAGATGTAGTTTAAATAAAAGCACACATTCTATTCATGTAAAAACACGCTGATTCCCAGTCCGTCTGCAGGCCAGATTGAGAAGGAGATTGGGCCGCATCTGGCCCACGGGCCTTAGGTTGCCCACCCTTGACTTACAACTTCAACAGGAATTTTAATGTGTATATTTATTACATTTATATCCCACTTCCCACCACGGAGCTCTAGATGGCATACATGGTCCTCCCCTTCCCTGTGGTGGAGATTAGGCAGTGGCTGGCCCAGGGTCACCCAGGGAGCTTCAGGACTGAGTGGGGATTCGAACCCGACTCTTCTAGCTCCTAGCCCAACTATACTGGCTCTCCCACTCATGCGCCACCTCAGTATAGTACCCCATGGCTAGCTCTCTACTCCTACAGCCCCTACCATAATATTTAGAATAGCTTAGCATGTAGATGTCCATGTCTCTCTGCATCCGTAGTCAGTGTGGGTAAGAAATGCTACTACATCAGACACCCCCCTCCAAAAAAAAAACTGGACCCCTTTTGTGCAATTTTGGAATACATACAGGCCAAGTGATTTAGCAAATATAGAAGTCTTGACAATTTGATGTAAAGATTGGAGTTGGCGGACTACGATAGGCTTTAATTATGGGTTTTGTATTTCCCATTTATTTATTTTACATCACATTTATAGGGTTGTGTATTATTATTTAAAACAAATAAAAATGAAAAGGAAGAAGTGACCTAGACACAGATCCTGTAGCTTTAAAGACTTAACACTGCAGTGAAGTCAGTTACTTTCCCAGCTCCTACTCCTCATATTAGAAAATTCTGCACGTCACATATCAGGGTTGGGAAACTTAATTGCCAGCAAAGCATTTTGTGACCTTTGCAAGAAAAGCACCTAGAGAAGCACTAACACTATTAGTGAAAGAAAATGAGAAACGAGGCCAGAACTTGAAACAATTACCAAAGCTTTCCCTGGAACCAGGAAGCAAGGGCCAATTCATTCTTGGAATCTGAAGATTAAAAAAACACCACCTCGTTCTCATTCTATAGCCCATTGTTCACCAAACCATCTATAAAAGGTCTGGGAGATGTGGAAGACTTCAACTTGCAGTGTTAACCTGCCAAAAGCCTGGAGGAGTTCTACAGAGCTACTGGGACAAATACAGCCTATATTCAATTTACAAAAAGAAAACCTTTCAGTTTGACATGTTGTATTAAGGGCTTTCCATGTTCACTCAGGCTCCAAAATGCTAGGAAATTATAGCTGTTAAAAGACCACCACAACCGTAGAATATCATATTGGCTAAATGATGCTTCTATATTTTTAGGACCGACCTTATTCTTACGACTATTTGTTTTTAAGCATTTTTAATATTGTAACCTACCCTGAGACCTTATGGTGAAGGGTGGGTATCTAAATTAATAATAATAATAATAATAATAATAATAATAATAATAATACTATAGAAGGAGGAAGAGGAGCATGGACTTTAACAGGTAATTTCCCAGCATTTTGGTGTTTGAGCAAACATGAAAAGCACTCAAACATTCTTTTTTTTTTTGTTTAATATGTTGTACAGTATTAACTGAATTTGATTACATTTTGAGAAGCCCATGCCCACAATCTCTCTCATCAGGCAAAGCAAGCTTGACATTAAAAATGATAAACTAATTGGACAAAAAAGAAGAAAAAGGGACCTCATTAATAAGATATCACACATCATTTAGAAGAGCAAGAATTCACATGCAACCTTACATATGCCTCTTAAATATATAATCTATTAAGCGAATTAAGGTTAGAAATAAAGGTTGCCCATCCTTTTCTCCTAACCACACTCTTGCCTCTTTATTGGAATTGCCAACTTTGGGCGGCTGCCACTGCTTTTTTGCCTGCGACAATTGGTTCGTTGGGTAGCATTAGCAGGGGATCCAGTCATCCCAATTTATTTCTGCAGATTGTATGGTTGTTAAAGGCACAAGAGCAGGGGATTCTCAAGTCAACTGACAAGACTTGCTGTTAAAGGTTGCAATGAATAAAAAGGAAAATAATCAGATAAAGCGTAAACAGCCAATACAGTGGTACCTCAGGTTAAGAACGTAATTCATTCTGGAGGTCCGTTCTTAACCTGAAACTGTTCTTCACTTTAGCTAATGGGGCTTCCCACTGCCGCTGCACTGTGGCGGCGCGATTTCTGTTCTCATCCTGAAGCAAAGTTCTCAACCCGAGGTACTATTTCTGGGTTAGCAGAGTCTGTAACCTGAAGCGTCTGTAACCCGAGGTACCACTGTAGTTGCTCCCTCTAGCTCCCTCCCCCCCCCAAGGTTCTCCTGTGCCTTCAAATGCTGACCATCAGAAATCCAACCACTGTACACCTCAGAGTATTGTCCTTATGAGATGTTCACATTGTGTAACACTGAATTCTACCCACAACCTGGTCTTTGAACTGTGTTCTGAGAATCCCTGGACTTCCTCAGAAGCTTAGTGGAGGTTTCCCAATGAGAAAGGCATCAATGACAGAGGAAATTCCCAGAAATACAGCCACAACACCTTTCCCACTGAATATATGTTTATCCACAAGGAGGTATTGTGACGTGCTGTTGTTTTTTTTCCAATTTCCATGGGGTAAGGTCAACATTCTGTGTGACTACCACACCTGGAACACGTCATGTGAAGAAATGTTTCCATGATCAAATAGGATCTATAAGCCACTGCAGTGAGATGGCCACAATAAGCCACACCTCAGATCCTTGGCATTTGCTATCCAACATCCCCTTCAGTCCCTTTTCAATTGATAGCAGTGGTCAATGATTTGGACTAAAACAAAAAGTTGTGAATTGGTATTTGTTAATTTATTAATTAAATTTGTATACCGCCCTTCATCTGTAGATCTCGGGGGGTTCGCAAAGTAAAAATACAATGCAAAAACACAAAATACATAATAAAAACAAGAACAAAAAAGAACACACTAAAAAAAACAACCCTCATCATAAAGGTAAAGGGACCCCTGAACATTAGGTCCAGTAGTGACCGACTCTGGGGTTGCAGCGTTCATCTCGCTTTACAGGCCGAGGGAGCCGACATTTGTCTGCAAACAGTTTTTCTGGGTCATGTGGCCAGCATGACTAAGCCGCTTCTGGTAAAACCAGAGCAGCGCACGGAAATGCCGTTTACCTTCCCACCAGAGTGGTACCTATTTATCTACTTGCACTTTACGTGCTTTCGAACTACTAGGTTGGCAGGAGCTGGGACCGAACAACAGGAGCTCACCCCCGTCATGGGGATTCAAACCGCCGACCTTCCAATCGGCAAGCCCTAGGCTCAGTGGTTTAGACCACAGCGCCACCCGCGTCCTGCATGTTGCATAGCATGGCTTTAAACCAGGTTTCCTCAACCTCGGCCCTCCAGATATTTGTGGCCTACAACTCCCATGATCCCTAGCTAGCAGGACCAGTGGTGAGGGATGATGGGAACTGTAGTCTCAAAACATCTGGAGGGCCAAGGTTGAGGAAGCCTGCTGTATGATCGCAACATCTGAAGTGGGACCCACACCTTCCAACATTTTACAGATAACAGGGACGCTCTTGTCAAAGGCGTCAGCAGCTGACAGTAAGCCACTGCATCTTGTTTTGCAAACACAGCGAATCCACACAGAATTGGCTTGTGCAACTGTTTTAATACATAACTGCCGACTGCCCACAATTCTTGCAGCAAGGCAGGCATCTGACATTTATCAAAATGTACAAAAAGACACGTAGGACGTTGTTGGTAATGGAGAGGTGACCCTGTCCAAGATTTCTCCACATGAGTTGCGGAGCCTGTTGATTTGTCTCTCTGTGAGTCCTCATTTATGTCAGTTAAAGTGGAAAGTGTGGCTCGTGTAGGTGAAAGAATGAAGAGAGGGAAGTTAATTCCAGAAGTGCTGGAGAAAGACTCACGACTTTAAGATTTCCCTCCCTGTTTGCCCGCTGTGGGGGCAACTTTGTCCCACCCCTTGAGATACTGCAACATGAGGATGGGATCAAGGCATCTCCACATTCCTATGTGAAATTATGGGGGAAGGAGCAGATTGGGAGTCCATAATTAAGCAGCGTTTCCTACACCCTGCTTATTTACTTATTACATTTATATCCCACCTTCAAGGTGGTAGGGTCATCGTCCCCCCCCCCACTCTACTTTATGGTCACAGCCACTCTGTGAAGTATGTTAGGCTGAGGTATGTTAAACTCTATGTTAAACTGTAAAAAGTATGTTAAACTGGCCCAAGGTGAACCTCTTGGATGAGTGTCTCCCAGGTCCTAGTCCATGGGTAGGCAAACTAAGGCCCAGGGGCCGGATCTGGCCCAATCACCTTCTGGGTGGATAGAAACCAGGGAATTCTTGCAGTCATCCCCCATCCCATTCTGATGCTGGGATGCTGAAGTATATCACGTTCCTGTACGGCCTTTCTTGGATTACTATGCATTAAGAGGGCATCATTATAAAACAGACTGTTAAAATGCCTAGGTAAGCCACAAAAACCTAAGATCTGGGTTGTTGATACTAGCAGCCACAGATGCATCAGGGGAAATATTTAAAAAACCACACATTTTGGTGGATAGAGGGAAATTAGGGAGAAATAAACCCACATTCTAGTCATGTAAACTCTGGATATTTACTAATTAGAAGCCCTAAAAAAGTCACATCCTCTAATCACCTTGGCAGACAAAGAGGTCACTGATCCTTTCTATCCTTTCCTCCTTTTGTTTTTGCTAAGATCACTTAATCCTCAAATGACAATCTGAACCAAACCAATTTATCTAGCAGAAGATGGACAACGTGGTGACTGGCACTCACAGATATTTTGGTTTTGTGGACAGGAGAAGAGTGCCAGCAAAGAGACCAGAGAGAATTCGAACAGCACACAAAAACCTGAACATGGCACCAGCTGATCTTTAGGATTCTGCCACAGGTAACTAGCAGTTTTTTTCACCTCATGGGGGCAAAATGCAGCTACCTCACTAGAGACAACTGGTCCTCGCAAAGTCAACAAACTTCCAGTTTCTTGATAAATCATTACTTACATAATGGCTAGGCAGCCAGCTAACACCAGCTGTCCCCCAGCACTAAAGACTGGCAGTGGGTTATCCAATATAAACATGAAATGTACATGTCTTTTTAATTAGAGTTCACTGATTCAGTCTGGAGATAACTCATAACTGCAAGATGGGAATCATTGCTGAATGACAGCAATCAATAAACCATTAAATTGACTCATTGAGTTAGGACCACAAGATTTTTCAAACCTGGAATAGCTGGGTCAAGTCACCATGTAATGGGATTTGGGGTGGGGTGGCGGAATAGCATGTGAAATTTACCCCTTAAAAAGGGAAGTTTTCAGATTGCTGTCATTCATTAACACTATTCCTATTCAACATAGCTGAGACACTGATGCAGAGAACAAGACCCTGCCCAACACAATTAAAAGCCCAAAAACTCCCACTGGGCCCTTGGTGTTCACATATGGCATATTCTCAATTTCATGCAGTACAAGCGAGTTACAATTTTCCTACGATGGAGTTCAAATGTGTACATGGCAAGCATATGAGACATTCACACACTGTTGGACAGTGCACCAGAAATTGTAATTCCAGAATTTCACTTAAGGTACTTCACTTCTTTTTTCATTGAACCATTTGCACTTTCCAAAAGCCTACATCAATAAGATGCAAAACCAAACAGCTCTGAGTACAACACAGAGTACAACACAGAGCAGTTAAGACATTTATTTCCAGGCGTACTAAGCTGCAACTCTCTATCTGTAGAGGATATCAGGAATCGTTCAAAAATACCAGCACATGTTTTCCCCCACAAGAGAATGAACGATCTGCAGGCACAGGGAGCTCTGGCATCTCCGTCAACAGGATGGCTGTGTTTACCTCATCCAGTTCAGTTCCAGTGTGCTTCTCTGCCAGCGGACTTCCAAGATTTTCCAGATAGCAGCCATGTCAGCCAGAAGCCAGCCCTCATGCTCAGCCAAGTATAGCTTACATGCCCCAAGTAGAATGTTCAAGGGTCAGCAACCCTGATCTACCACTCCAACAAGGCCATGACTCAGTTCACATGTCGCGGTAAACCACAGTTAATGGCTTGCCATGAATGTCCTCCAGAAGGCTCTTTCACTCTTCCCTCCTAACACCACGACCTCTGGCTTCTTCTAACGTCCAAACAGCAAGCCACAATCTGTAGCCTATGCATGTTTTTTGGCTTACTGATTAGACTCGTAAAACTGGGGAGTGTGACTTGTTACCTCTGTGCATGGGCAGAGGGAAGCCAAAGAACTCTCTTGACCACAATCAGAATAAACTACAGTTTACTGTGACATGCTAATGAGGTCAATGCAGTCTTGACCACAGCAGAATCAGGCTCAGAGTCATCCCAAACACTGTTTTTACAGTGCAATGGCAGGAAAAATTACCTTAAATAAAAACAAGTAGACAGCAGGGGGTTGAGGAAGCTTTAAAATAAAACATTTCTTTTTATCTGTTTAGTTGCCTAGGTGTCCTACATTACGATGGAAGAAGGAATTATATTCATGAATCTTTGATTTCGCCCAACACTTATGTTTGAATTGCACCTCCCAGTTGCTCAGTACAGATAACTGCAAAGAGGCTGTATTACCCAAAACCAGATTTCCTCCTCCTTCCCATGAAAAGCTAATTTAAGTTTTCATACCAACTGTTCCAGATGTCAACTTAACTGTATTACAAATACAGTCACAGTTACACCAACTCTCATCTTGGGAGAAGCATTACTCAGTGTTGACCCCAGGCATTTCTGCTCCTGAGGCAGTTAATACAAGAGCACCCCACTAATTTATTATGGGGCGCAATTCACTGCCAAAGTCCCAGTGAAATCAACGCAAGACCAGGCTCTTATGCAGCTCCTGTTAATCTCAGTCACATTTGTGCAGCCACCCTGGTGAACTGTGCCCCATGGGTCAGATCTTTCTACCACATTTTTACCACATTTCATGATGGCCAAGGTCCGCTGGGAGGCTCCTCCCCCTGAAGAGGAGCATCATGGCAAGGGGGAGACCATCCTGGCCCCATGGACAGGGGCTGCAGAAGCAAGGGGAAAGGGACTAACTGGGGTGGCTGCCTTGACCCATGGTTAGCTGTCTGGGTCCCACATCTGACGCAATAAAGTGGGCATGGCCATGTGGAAACAGCAGTTCAGGGCTGCTTTCCAAAGGCTTTCCCTCAAGCAAATCTACAATATTTTAAATCATAATATGTAATATATTATTCAGTTATTCAATTCAGGAAAACAAATGGACTCACCTTTTGGCAACATGGACTCACAGAAGGGGAAACACAAGAGCCGTCAATCATTTAAGAGCAATGCTTTTTTTAAAAAAAAAAGATTTTAAAAAATGAGGGAGTCTTGGGGGCGGGGTCACATAAAACCTTTTGGGGAACATATATGGCCCATGGGCTGTGGATCAGCCATTCCTATCCACTGAGTGGAAGAACCAACTGCTATTACAGCAACAACATGCCCAGGAAAGGAAAATTATGCCCCTATGATAGCTTCCCACTTTGTTCTGGTCTTCAAGTAAAAGCCTCCCTCCTCTACCCTTTTCCTCCATTTCCCTTTTCTTGTCTTTTTTCTTTTTAGTTTTCTTTAAGCTGATGACAGAAACACACACCCACCCCTTGATTGATTGAGTTTACTTATATGTTGCTTCCCACAATGAGTTGTGGTCAAAGTGGCTTACAGCAAACATTCCAAAACCTAGAAATACAGAACATAGAATTACAAATATACAAAATACAGAACTTGTCGGTAAATTAAAAAATGACAAATATCAGCAAACACGGAATAAATTCAATTATTACTGGGGGGCGGGGGATGACCACCCATGATCTGGGCTGAAGTACATAATATACCTGAAGGAGCATCTCTACCCCCATCGTTCAGCCCAGACACAATGAGGTCTACCTCTGAGGACCTTCTGGTGGTTCCCTCATGGCAGAAAGTGAAGGCACAGGGAACCAGGCAGAGGGCCCTCTTGGTAGTGGCACCCTCCCTGTGGAACACCCTCCCTGCAGATGTCAAGGAGGTAAAGAAATATGCAACTTTTAGAAGGCATCTGAAGGCAGCCCTCCATCGGGAAGTTTTTAATTTTTGACATTTTACTATGTTTTTATGTTTTGCTGGAAGCTGCCCAGAGTGGCTGGGGAAACCCAGACAATTGGGTGGGATATAAACAAAAACATTGTTGCTGTTGTTAAGCAGAACAAGAATCAACTGATAACATTCTGGTACTGGACTTGCTGGACTCCATGGAGCCTGGCATACATACAGTTAAGAGATGGGGAGTAGATGACATACAGCTGGCATATAGACTAGATAACGTACAGAGGAGGCTGACAGTAGCAAAAGGCAAACACTGGGGAGGGCAGTAATAGTCTCTCCCACAGTCTTCTGGAAGTACCTATAGCTGCTACAGGTCTTTCTGCTCTTCTTTGAGAGATAATAATTGTCTGAAATGTTCGATTTCAGAATGGCAGAGCAGGATAGGCTCTTTTGGGCACAATCCAGGGGAAATTCTCTGAAAGTGAACTGAATCTGTGAAATAGCCTGGAGGATTATTCTGTGTGTGAATCAACCTGAGGGGGTCTATTTGGATTTTCCTACTTGAGACCACCAAAATTTATTCAGTCAGACCAAGCCCTGCCCTTATCATAGATATTTCATGTTGCAATCAAGTCACCTGCCCAGGCTCCTTCAAGCCACAGAGTGCAATATTAATGACTAGTCAATGGGGTAACTAACTAATCCCATTTCCCCCCAAGCAAAATTGCAGGCTGTGCAAAGTCCTCAAAGTGTCATAGAGAAAGCTGCACCACAGGCAATATCAGCTAGGCCTACAAGATAGCTGATATTCTTTCTTTCCCCATAGGCCAACTGTATTAAAATAGCCTTCACCCATGCATGAATCATACTTTACATAACAATGCAATAAAAAGCATTGAAAAAAATCTTTCAACTGATCCTCACCAGAACAACTGCAATGCATTCAAGTCTTTCAGGACCTGAGTTTTCAAATACGATTGCTGAGGGGTCCTTTACCACAACCCAGTTCAAACCAACCTGCAGCCATGAATTCACCAAGTGGCCTTAGGCAAGCCACGGTTGATGATTGGCCCCTCATCTGCAAATGTAGAGGACAACACTGGCCTACCTTACAAGGTTGTTGCAATTATTGGTGAGGTAATTACAAAAGTCTTTTGAACGCTTCAGGTGTGCTATACAAATGCTGCCAACTGCCCTTCCCTTCAGTGCTAGAACATCTGATCTGTGGGCAAGAAGGTTCCAGTTTCCATTCTTAACATCTCTAAGTAGGCTTGGGAAAGTCTCCTGGCCTGATCCACCAGAGAGCTGCTACCAGCCAATGTGGACAGTGCTAAGCTGATGGCCTGACTTCATCTAAGGCAGGCCCCTGTGGTCCTCCTATCATTTCCCTCATATGTCTTTGGATTCCAAGGGTGCTAATTGTCCCATGATCGTCCGGTCATTTAATATTCAAAGATTATCTACAGAAATATTGTAAAATTAATGAATGTTAGAATGATGTTCGATAAAAACTAAGTGGTTCTTAGCTGAAATGTTACAAGGGAAGATGAAAAAAGGGTTTACTATGTAATATGTAAAAATCTAAAAGTACAATATCTTTATGATTATTGATTAGGATATTTAAAAGAGGGGAGGGAACTGCTGAACAAAATATGTGAACTGGAATACAAAAAGGGAGGTGCGAGGAGGTCGAGGAAACAAGTAAATGAAGGATAAGACGTAGAAAGACTAATTTGTTTGTTTAATTGTTTTTATTTTGTATTTTGTATTTCTCCATTTTTACATCTTTTTTCTTTTTTTATCTGCTTTCCTTTTTCTTTTTTCGCTCATTTTTGTAATATGTTGAAAATTTTAATAAATATCTTTTAAAATAATAATAATAATAATAATATTTCCCTTGTGTGCCAGTTTAACTCTCTGTTAGGTTGCATGGCTTGGAAGACTCCATGTTACGCCCCAACAGCTGGGTACATTTGCACATGCAACAACTTAAGATTTTTGTTGTTTTTTTAAAAGAAAATGAATGAGGACATCATGAACTAAAGTTGTGCTGTGTAACTCAATCAATTGCAGAAATCACTTTAAAATGCCACACAGTAAGAGGGGTGGCAGTTTGAGGGACACAGCCAGCATTTTAACACTCAGGGGTTGTTGTTGTTGGGGGTGCCTTTTACACAAAGCCTGTTACACATCTGTTTCAATCCGTGTGTCCCGTTAGCAATGTTCACAGCTCAAGCTGTTAAGGAGAAGATTGCCACAAAGTGCCCAATTTGGGAATTCTGTCCTCTGAACTTTTAATGTACGAAGAAAGGACAGATTGAACACCATTCAGGGGCATAATGCTCTTCCAAAATTGTCTTTAAGGTGTTGGAGGTAGTTAAGGTGGGGGGGGGAGAGACACATTAATCATAGGAAGAATTATTAATAAAGGGGAATTGGAGGTAATGTTCTCATTCCCACATACCCTACTATGCTTTGATTTGCTGCTGAAATCTCAGATGAATTTTACTTGAAAAGAAACTTTTGAGGCTTTTTAATTTTCTTTTACTCTCTCACAGCCATACATTTTAAAATGCCAGTGCTGCTCTATTACAACTAATGACTATCTGTGGGCAGTAGATGTCTGCTCTCAGCCAGCCCAAAGGCAGCCTATTTCAAAAGAATTTTTATTTCATTGTTTAAAATATATTGGATTACAAGAGCAAGCTGTCTCTGTTCTCTCAGATAGACAAGGGAAGCAGTAGTAGAATTGGACAACTCTACAAGATGCTAGAAGGAAAAGGCCTGAAAAGATACCAAGATGAATTGAAATGAGGAGACAATAGGGAAATTGTGTTTTAAAATTTTAATATTTTCAAACTTGCAAGATGTCAGTTCTAAGCAACGGTGGCCCATATACTATATTGTTCTACCTGTATGTACACATGCCTTAAAAGAAATTAAATTTGCCCAAGCAACCTAAATTCAACATCAAAAAAGCTGAATTTTGTGGTCTGTGTGAAAATTTGAATGACTTTTTATTTTGTATAGTGTAATCTAGTTTTGCTAATCATGGAGAAGAGCAAAGAGCTGTACTTAAACTCATCTGCCTAACCACTAGAAAATATATTCAGCTTATCACCTAATATTTCAAGGCATTGCCAACATGCTTTTAAACATCAGTTTGCAACCACAAGGACTACAAACTGATACGTGAAACGTAAGATTCTGTGTCCAATAATCACACTCTGAAATTCTTTCTCTCTCTCTCTCTTTCTCTCCTTCCTTCCTTCCTTCCTTCCTTCCTTCCCTCCTTCCTCTTTCTTTCTTAAGCACTCCTGCAGGTTAGACTATTCCCAGCTTCTCTAGTTATCCAATAATGGGAAATGAACTGGGTAACTTTAAGTGGACACAATTATTCATATCCACCTACTGGTTAGAAGACCGCATTTGGTCTTCAATGGTTCCTCTATGAGTATACTGTATAGACCAAGTCTCCAACTTTAGGATACCTGCCTCGTGCCACAGTAGTTGGCTAACAGGCCAATATATATATCCGTGCTGTGCACCAACTGGACAACAACCCCACTGTCCTTAGCTTACAGAAAGCAAAAAGATACATATGACTAGTATTATTAATCAGAGACCATAATTCCCTGCTCCAAAGAGCTTAAATAATTTTTCAGCCCTGATGCAAGACATATCCACAACTGTTTGCACCACCTACCCAAGCATATGACTGGCATGAGCTTTGTACATTTTGCTAACTTATAAGCAGAAGGCAGCAAATGTGTCAAGGATAAGCAGGCTGAAGGACACCCCCCTCCCCATAAGTCAACCAGAACTCATGTTTGGATGCGATCTCCTGTGGCCATATGGCAGTGCTCCTACTTCATCAACTCCCTCCCTCATCTTCTTCCAATTCTTCTCTCAGCTACATCTAGACATATGTCAGTGTCTTGTGCCAGCTGGAGCTCCCATGTTGGAGCTGCCCATCAGACAAAAGTGGAATGCAAGGAACCTTGACAACAAGAATTAGCACACAGGGGTTGTACAGGCAGCCACCTCCTTCAAAGGAAGGCAAAGGTGCTTTCACTGCACACTTAAAAAGCTACTGGTAATGGCTGACGGGGAAGGATTGGCTGGAAAACCAAGCAGCGGCAGGTGAGGACTCACGCTCTGGAAAGAGGCTGTTAGCAAATTACATAGGATTCCTTCCACACAGAAAACACAACTGATACCACGACTGAAGTTATTCTAGAGACTGCCATTGACCAATGAGGCAAGACAACAGACTAGAAGGTAGACTGCAATCACCTTAACATTCAACATTAGAGGGAGTCTGCAAGAACAGCTGAGCAATCTGCCTAGTGAGAAAATCATGCAATCCGTTTAAAGGCATGCTCAGCAGCATCTCTCAGAAAGAGTTTAGGACAAGTGACTCCTGCTGCAGTGGATGGGGCTGGAACTGATGAGCCTTGAGGTCCCATTACAGTTCTTGCTAATGTTACATGAGAGTGGGCCTTTTCTGTAGTGGCTCCCCATTTGTGGAATGCTCTCCCCAGGGAGACTCACCCGGCACCTTCATTACATATCTTTAGACACCAGGCAAAAACGTTCTTCACCCAGTCCTTTGGCTAATTAAACAATCTATGGCCTTCTAACTGTGTGGGTGGTGCAGTTTGTTATTATGTTCCGTAATTTGTGTTTTTACACTGTAAACCACTCTGTGATCTTCGGATGAAGGGTGGTACAGTGGTATCTCTGGTTATGAACTTAATTCGTTCCGGAGGTCCGTTCTTAACCTGAAATCGTTCTTGACCTGAGGTACAACTTTAGCTAATGGGGCTTCCCGCTGCTGCACAATTTCTGTTCTCATTCTGAGGTAAAGTTCTTAACCCGAGGTACTACTTCTGGGTTAGCGGAGTTTGTAACCCGAAGTGTTTATATACAGGTGGTACCTCGGGTTACAAATTTAATAATAATTACTAAGAGTGAGCTGTGCAGAGGGTATGGATGACAGAAACCAGCTAACACTGAGCAGTTGAAGAGATGTGGACCCTTTCTCCATCACTGAGTAGCACTCATCAGAAAACCTGCAGGCCTTGAAGGAACAGACTAAGTGGCGGCAGCAGCCCATCTGCTAATAGCATTTTTCTCCCACCCAAGCTTGTGGGGAGCTACCAGGGGGCACCAGATCCCAATATAGATGTTTATTCAACCATCTAGTCCCTGGTGTACATTTTCAGTCACCCTTTCTTCCCTGGTGGGGAAGGGGGCACCATTTTGTGGTACACCTACGGTGTCAAAATATCTTGCGTGGCCTTGACAACAGACTCCAGTTCCATCAGCTTACAGCTAATATGAATCACGGCAAGACTAGCACAGAGTTCCTCAAGCCTTTCCGCACAGTTCCACCCGCTGAAGAACTCTTTAAAATATCTGCCACAGGAACTAACATTTCTCAGAGGGGTCCAAGGCATATTTTGAAGCACCCAAACTAGGCATAGCTCCCGGAGCCTAACCTATAGGGGATGACCAGTGGGCTTAAGTGGTTTGGTTTTGGGTTGCTGACTTTTGAAATAGCTACAGCAACTTCAGGGCAGGCAATTAGCAGACAATCGTGTTCACCTCCCTGATGAGTAAAGCTTTGCAGACTGAGTTGTGTAGATGAACATTACAAAACAGTGAAATTTGTGAGAGTAAGCTATGCTTCCCCGCTCCTGATCCACAGCCCTAATTTCAGTAGAGCCTGACATTTAACTTACTGTGGAGTAAGACTTGCATGAATTTGGAAGAGCTCACATTTTACCACAAAATAAATAAAGACAACTTGTTCCATCAGATTTCAATTTCCTGAGAGCCTTCTCTCCCCACCCTCCTGTTCAGCCTGCTACAAAATGTTAATTGGATTTTAAAGGAAGCCACACATTGTGGGAGAAGGGCAGTTGCTGAACCAAAGAGGCCACAGACAACAATAACAGCAAAAAGCACGATTCAACGCTTTCTCTTCTAAAAACAGGAAGTTCTGAGGAAGGGACTGGGAGGGTCACAGCTTGGTGCCCATTTGAACTTCCCCTAACAAGCCCTAAACAAAAACCTTCCACTACTTTTGGAAAGCAAGGAACTCAGCTGCCCATATTTTTATTGAAAATCTGTGATTGTGGGGTGATGCCTTCAATGTCCCCCACCGTCCCTAGCTCTTCCTAAAGAAGGGGTAAGGAGCCAGTGGGGTTCTGCGGGTGATGTGGCGGCTCCAGCCACCACCAGCCAGCCCAGCAACAACCAGAGGGCTACAAGTCCTTCCCCCCCCCCCACCGTTGTTCTCAAGAGTGAGGTTGTAGGGTTTGCTCTTTTCCGCACATTGAGCCTCTCCCTTTACATGCCTCTCTTACATGAACGGGGCGTGGAATTATTATTAATCAAAATAAAGAACAGGGTTATTTGGAAATGCCGGTTTCATGCCACAGAAACCAGTACTTGACTTGTATGAGAGAGAAGGGAGCTGCTACTAATTCTCTTGAAGACAAGACATTATGAGGCATTATTTTTATTCTCATGAACTGTATGGATGAGAGCGAGAAAGCAGCTAAGGCTGTTGAGATTGCCAAAGGATAAATACAATTTTATACCTGCCTAGAGTTCAGGCCCTGTGCCAACTGCACAAACACAAGAAGTTTCTCCGTACTGAGCCAGCCCATTCGTCCGTTTGGATCAGTATTACCTATACTGACAGGCAGCAGCTCCTCAGGGTTTCAGGCAGGGATCTTTCCCCAAATCTACCCGCAGGTGCTGGGGTTTGAAGCTAAAGCCCATCCTTACTGGCGCTCTGCGCTGGGCAGGTTATAACTTTAGAAGACACCACTAAAGCAGAGCTCAGGTGGAGTTAAGATTGCACCCGGGGAAGCTGTGAAATAAGGAGCGCGCCTCTAGGCATGTGCAAAGGGCCTCCTGCCCACTACTCTAACGAGCAGCTATCGTTTGCCCAGATGCAAACTGCTCCAGGCGATGGGCAACGCTAAGCCCCACGGATGGGCGACATTGTTGAAATCAAGCACAAGCCTCAGGGCAACCAAAAGATCTGCGGAGCGGGTCAAGGGGGCGACGCCGTCAAAACACGTAGGGGGCAAGAACCCGGAGCTCAGCAGAAAGCAGCAATCGGATGCGTTTCCCTCCGGTTGCAACAGTCCCCGGTTCCCCGCGCCGACCCCCGGACGCGCCCCCCACGCCCCGCTTCGGAGCCTACCGCTTGCCGGCGTGGCCGCCTCCGCCGCCGCTGGTGCTGGTGGTCCCGTGGAAAGACGACGGCCAGGACATGCGGCATTTCTTCAGCCCCGGCCGGTCGCTGGTGTCCATGGCGTCCGCCCTCTCGATCTGCCGGTGCGGGTGCCTCTCCGTGTCCGAGTAGCCGCGGTGCTTGATCTTGATGGGGGTCCGGGGCTGCCGCCAAAGGTGCTGCGGGGGCTTGAGGGTGGCCTGACCCTCCCGCGGCACGGGCAGCGACAGGGACAGGCTCTTCTTCGAGCAGGGCGGCGGCGGCTCCATCCTGCTGCTCCTCGCCGGCTTCGGACGGAGCTACACGGGCGGGAGGGCGGGCGGGCAGGTCGCGGGGTGGCCGCGGCTGAGGAGTTTGCGCGCCCGGGTCTCGGTCTCCGGCCAGCAACCCGAGTCGCCGCCCCTCGAGCGGGGAAGCGCCTCACAAACTCCGCCAAGAAGCCGCCGCTGCCATCCCAAGCGAGGCTTAGCGCGGAGGCAGCCGCCCAGGGCCCTTCGCGCCGGCTCCGGACGCCCCCTCCATGCTCCGCGGCTGCCGGAGGAGACTGGCGGCGCCTGCCCGAACACGCACCGAGCTCAGCCCGCGCCGGGAGCCGACGGAGCGTCCCCGCTGCGCGCGTCTGAGGCGCCGAGCGCCTCCGGAGGGAAGGAGGGAGTGCGCCGCCGGCGGGGCTGCGGGGAGGGAGGAACCAGCGGAGGCGGAGGGGACGCGCCGAGGGTCGCCGCCTTCACGGCATCCCCCGCTTGGCGAGGCGGCGGCGGCGCCACGAGACGGGCGTGGGCGGGCGTCTCCTTAGGCTCCGCGGTTCCCCGAGGAAGGCTCCGCCTGCGCGGCAGCCGGCTCGCGCGCGGACTAAGTCGAAGCACGGAGCCCGAGCGGCGGTGGAAGAGCCCCGCCCGCGGCTGCCCGCGCCGGTCTTCGCCGCTTTCTCCCGTCCAATGTAGAGCCGGCTCCCTTTCTCCTTACTTGGAATAGCAAGAGTGCCTCTGAGCGTGTACAGAAAGCCTTTTCCGTCAGCAAAGGCCTAAGGACAGTTAGCCTTACCGCGTCAAGTATCAGCACTGGCAGTGTCGGATTTACGTATAAGCTAAACAAGCTATAGCTTAGGGCCTCACCTTAGCTGTCAACGTTTTTTAAAGGGAAATTCCCTTATTCCGAATAGGATTCCTCACAAGGAAAGGGAAAAGTTGACAGCTATGGGCCCCACTCTCTTGGGGGCCCCCCAAAAAATTCACTATTAATATACTTCTTGTGTTTCACTTCTACAATCACTGATAAAATACATAGTTTGTTATGTGCAAATGGCTTTAGATACCTATTAGGTCCATAAATGTCCATATAGCATATATTCAACACAAAAATACAGCCACAAATTGTTGTTGACAAAGGACAGCTGGACATATAAAGGGCCCCATTACCTTCAGTAGCTTAGGGCCTCATCAAACCTGAATCCGGCCCTGATCAGCAGTGTCCAGTTTATTGGGGCGGGGCTGGGCACCTCTCCGTCTTCCTCTTCCATTCTGCAAAACACCCCCCCCCAAAAGCGTAGTCACCAACAAAAGCCTGTTGGGACTGAGAGAGTTGGTTAACTAAGTGGAACCTCCATGTTCAGGAGTAGTATACCTTTGGATCTAGCACGCTTGGGACAAACAGTGGAGGAATACTGGTGCCCTCGTGCTTAGGTATTATCATGTATTGGGTGCTCCGCAGGCACCTGTTGGATCTAATCCCGAATTGTTGTCTCCATCAAGGCAATTAGGCCTCCCTTCCTTTCGGGTCCACATTTGACCTGGAGCTTCCTTTGCATGGCTGTCTCTCTGTCAGTCTTAACCCTCAGAAATGAGGGGTAAGGATTTCAACAGAACTCCCAGACCTGCTTCACCTCTGAGTCTCATTGAGTCGCAAAAAGATTTCCTGCTTTGGGGTAAAGCAGGCGGAGCATAAAGGTGTTCTCCCGCATAGGGGGCGACAGAGGGTGAGAGAAGTAAATAACAAAATTCTTCCTAGCATGAGATGGTGGCCCAGAAAAAACATCTTCTTTTAAAGTGTGGGGTAGGGAGTAGCTCCCAACACATAGAAAAAGGGCATATGGAATAAAGGCCTTCTTGGTGGCTGCCCCCAAGATTCTGGAGCTCATTCCTTCCTTGCTGTCCTTCTTGTCCTAACAGGGTTTGGAACTGACTGCTTTTAAAACTTGACATGCTGTTTTTATTGTACTCATCTGTATGTTTTCTAATAGATATATAGTTTTGATCATATTAATGTTTAATTATTTTCCCCACCCATATTTTCAGCTGTTCTTATTTTATATGTAAGCCACCTTGAGTTTCTGTCAGGGAAAAATGCAGAGTATTAATAATAATAATAATAATAATAATAATAATAATGAGAAAGAAGGTAGGCTGAGCCATTTGCTCTGTTTTTCTGTGTGTGTGGAGCTGTTGTTTCAAGTACGGGAATATTCAACTGACTCCCTTGTTACACATGTGCAGCAGTCCAGGAAAAACAAAAAGCTTTATCGCTTGATTCTGTTGATGTTATGAAGTGGTCCTCAACACATGCAGGAATTAATTGATCTTAGCAGCCTATAAACCAGAACAGGGCCCTCCCAAGACATTTTAGCATCTGAGGCAAAGCACAAAATGGCACACATACCCTCCCTGCCAGGGAGGAAGGGGTGAGTGAAGAAGTATATCGGGAACAAGCAGGGAATAAATACTGACATTGGGATCTTCTGCCACAGAGGATCCTGCCACCTGAAGTGGTCACCTGACCTTGCCTCAGGGGTGGGCTAGCCCTGAACCAGGAGCATTTGGGTCCAAATGTGTTCTTCCAGCTTTTGTTGCTGTGACCCAGTTGCTGGGATTCAGGGCTGCTTTTGCTGTGCTACCTTCAGAGCTCTGGTGTGCAAGCAGAGAAAAGATTCAGGGATACTGCCAAAATAGTACCAGTCTATAAAGCAGGGCAGCTGCGAGTGGCCAGAGACAGCCTTTGGCACAGAAGCTGCGTGGTGATCAAATAATGTCATTACTGAGCAATAAAGTGGCTATTAATAGCACGGTGGCATCGCCCCTCCTTCCTTGTAAATAGTTTATATTGGCAATGGTGATCCATGTCTCTTGCAGGATCAGATAGGAGAAAAGGAAAGGTTAATGGCGACCTGTGTATACCAGCATAACTGGGGTGCCATTCTCCAGCCAAAGATATTTCAGTGGAAAATCCAAAATGGGAGCCCTCCTCCTCTTAGCTAGCAAACTGGGAAGCTCTCCTTCACAACCCTCACTGAAACATATGGGAGCTCTCTGTGAACAATATTGTGTTCCTTCTAAACCATGGGTAGACAAACTAAGGCCCGGAGGCCGGATGCGGCCCAATTGACTTCTAAATCCGGCCCGCGGACAGTCCGGGAATCAGTGTGTTTTTACATGAGTAGAATGTGTGCTTTTATTTGTGGGGCATAGGAATTCCTTCTTCTTCTTCTTCTTTTCAAAATATAGTCCAGTCCCCCACAAGGTCTGAGGGACAGTGGACCGGCCCCCTGCTGAAAAAGTTTGCTGACCCCTGTAATCTAAACTCTTTCCATGGTTCAGCTCTGTCAGTCTCCCACATAAGGACTTTCTTTCTTAATCATATCAGAATCTATCTAATCTAGCATTTGGTTTCCAACAATGGCCCAACAGACTTCTGCTTCAGGAAGCCCACAGACAGAGTAGGAGAGCAAGAACCCTCCTCGGTTGTTTGCCCTCAGCACTTGGTATTCAGAGGTACTTCTGAACATAGAGGTTCCATTTAACTATAATTAATCCTCTTCCACTCTTGAAAATGAGTAAAATGGGCCACCTGCTTTGGGCCACTACAGCTACAGTAAGGCCACGTATGGGCTATCCTGGCTGCACATTTAATCCAAGCGAGAAACAGGGTATGGCCCTCCTGAATTCTGCAGGGGAGAGGTAAAATCCAGAGGTCTTGCCCTGTCTATTCCCATGAGACCAGGGCCCTACAGGATTTAACTTACTTCCGCAGGGCCTGTAAGACAGAGCTATTCCACCTGGCTATCAATTTGAACTTAGCCTGATCTTTCCCCTTCCTTCCCTCCCCTTCCCCTTTTTATAAAGATTACCAGCTCTGGGATCCCACAGCTAATTCTCCCGTGGCCTCGTCGCTGGCCCAAATAGGACTAATTTAGCCAACTAGCCCTGGTGATCATCTAATGCTTATTGGATGGATTTCCCCCCTAAATTGATTTCTGAATTCTTAATTTATTGTTATTCATGTTTTATACTGTATTTTCAGCTGTTTTTTGTTGCATCAATTAAGTGTTTTAAATTTGTTGTTAGTTGCCCTGAGCCCTGTTTTCTGAACCGGGAAGGGCGGGGTATAAATAAATTATTATTATTATTATTATTATTATTATTCCTTCTTAGGCTTGGGAGCAAATTATTCCTGCATTGCAGGGGTTTGGACTAGATGACCCTTGGGGTCCCTTCCAATGCTACAATTCTATGATACAGTCTCATCAAAACAGGTTTATTGCCTACTCTCCCAAGACAACTTCACTCCCAAGACAACTTCACATACACACATGGCTTCACTTTAAATCAATTTTTGCTCAAGAGGATCCCACGCAGGGAATCAAGCATTACATGGTAAGGTGACAGCAGAAATTGTTCCAGGATGTGATTTAGCTATTTCTGTCCCTCCAGATAAAAATAGACGTCTAGAGGATACTTTTGTTCAACATATTTCATGTGCCTTGAGAATCTACATGTTTAAAGCCTCCAGAATAAGAGGAAACAAGCTCAAAGTAGACTCAGAAGGAGGGATAAAGAGGAGGGAGAGAAGGAGACAGAAGAAGGATGTGGTTCACAAGTCCAAAACATTTCCCTGCATGAAGTGCTTGTAGGATGGGAGAGGTACAGAGCCTAAAGTGCTTCTGAGCTTATGCAGAGTACTGTACTTGCTTTCCTCAAGACCTGCTACTTTTAAAACTGGGAGTGGGGGCTTTAGGCCCTCTCCCCTGCTCCCGTTGAGTAGTTAAGATGAAGTCACAATTGAGAGGGCATCTTCATCTCTTTTGAAGTCCATTTTGAAATTGTCCCTCTGCCTAGAAACTCCTTTCTTTTCTTTTTACATGCCTTGAGTGTTTTGTGGTTTGGGGTGGACCCACCCCTAGATTGAATAATTTTTGTTGACAATGATGTATTTTAGGTTATTGGGCAAAAAAGGCCACAACTTTATTGGTTAAAGAATGTGAGTGGTATTGGCTTAGGCATTGGAAACCACACGACTATATCTGACTGCTGCCCATCTGCAGGAGTCTTGGAAGGGTTAACCACCAGTAGGGGGAGCCCTGCTGATGCACATCAACTAGGGACTCCCCCAGGGTCACCGCTAGGGGTCGTGCCATGGCCCTAGCCCCCTGTCTGGGGCTTCAGACAGAGAACCCCTCCCGAAGAACCTTAGCCCTCGTTTCTGCCCCTTCCTCAGCTACTTGCCCAATTCTCCAGTGCCAGTGCCTTCCTGGATATTTCTCAGAAACCAGTGAAAAGCCAAATGGGGCTTCCTTCGTGCACCCAGAATGGCTCCCAGAGAAGGAGGTTGGAGGCAGGAAAAGGCAGCCCACTTGGAACCTGGTGCCAGTTTCATACAGATGGACCATTGCTCCATCTACCTCCTGTGGCTAACAGGTGACGCTCCTACAACACCCACCATTTCCGGCAGCACAGCCAAGGTCAGGGATGATGGGACTTGTAGTCCAGCCACATCTGGAGGGCACAGCACTGGCTACCCCTGGTCTATGCTGACTAGCCAGTTGCTCTGCAGGGTTTCAGGCAGGGGGCTTTCCCCAGCCCT